AAAAAATGAGAAAACCATTCAAATCATCAGTTTTTTAAAGAACCATAGTCAACTGTCAGTTTTGATGAAAATTATAGGAGATGAGAATAATAAGATCGAAATTTTATACGATATTTTTGTATACCTTTTCGAAAACAAGAACTGTGTGCCTTATATTTGTAAATAGTTATTTTTACACTTATCCGAAATAAATTTTACATGAAATCAAACTTTAATGAAATATAAGACGAAACTATACAAAGCTCAAGAAAGTTGCTTCAATTGTTAAAAGAATATTCAAGTTTCTTTTTCAATTGAACTTCTGCAACAACATTTAGACTCGAAACAGGTCATAAGAGACAGCTGTGGTCGGTGCTTTTATTTAAAATCGTTATGCATCTACGTTGACACAGAAAATGTCAGTAGAACACGTAGTTTGTCCAAATAAATTAGTAAAGTCAAGTACTTGATCTTATACAACAAGGTAAACTAGAGTATTTCAGAATATTTTTCTATGATATGACTTTCTCAACAGGTATAATTCTGATATACTATTTGTAAAATCTAGAGTTTTCTTTATTTATGATAATAAAACTAAATCGAACAGAACTTATCTGGAGACAAAAGTCTTGTATTCACCGTACACGCAGAAAGATTTGAAAGCAGAAAGAGAGAAACTTCTATGCTTTCATTTGGCAAAAATAACGATAAAAAACTGAAAAAGAATTTTCCCGACAGTTAAATAACGGCTAATTCTTTTCATTATAAAACATAACAGCAAAAGATTTGAATCAGTAACCTTTACAAGCGTTACATGACAGTGAATTTAAATGACCGAATGATATGCAAGCTATTCGGAAACTCTATAGGATCTCATAGAATAGATTCATACAGAAAAGCAGGATTCTTAAACAGCAAAAAAGCTCAGTTTTGATTGCTGAAAATGAGCTGTTGTCGTCGATTTAATAAAATCATAAGGTTTTCCGAAGACGCAGCCAAACAGGAAAAAAGGAGCTGATACACTGTCGATCGAGACTTCCTGGAAATAGAACTAAAGCAATATTTCAATACTATCCGAAGACATATATACACAGAAGAGAAGAGTAAATTGCTCATCCAGAAAAACTTAATTGATGAGATTTTCTTTAGATGTCATAACTTATGCAATGTTCGCCCACTGCAGCCAGAGACACTATCGGTATATTTTAAATGTTCCTTGTAGTATCGATAACAGTAAGGAATCGGGCTGCTTCTTGCTGACACTTGATAAATTTTTTCGGATGCAGTTCAAAAATGGCGACTATCCGAAGAAAATTTTTTCATACGTTTGAAGGTGATCATTTATTTTCTCTCGATGTGCCAGTTGATATAACCTACAGTTTTCCCGCTAACTGTTGTCATTGATGTCTATTTATAGACATTATTGAAACTATAAACTCGATCATTTGATTTTATTGCCACTTTAATGTTATTGAATAGAATATCCAAAATAATCGCAACTCGAGAAGAGAGGTGAAGAAACAGAAATTATCTTAGATGATTTCATCTCAGTGCGATATAGTTTCTTCAAAATACTATCAGTTTATAATTTTCTGATGTCGAACAAACATATTTCGTCCGAATCTATTCAAACATAGGCAGAACGGGACATGGCTTGCATAGAAAATATTGATAGTCTTCTGTAATAAGCCCACATAAAATCTCACATTTCACCGAGAAGAAAAACTTTCTACGTTAGAATATTTTAATATACTTTTTTTTCAAAACTAATATCATTTCGATAATTTTTCTTAAGTGTTGAAAAGAGGACCAAATAACTTCGATGTGCCTTTTATACATAGAAATTCTGCGAAATTTTTACTTGACCAAGGCATAATTCTAAAAATGATGATTGTGGTGTCTTGATCAAGGTCCGACAGATCTGAAATTCTGCAAGAGATTGTTTTAAACAGTATTGTTAGAAAACATGTTGAAAGTCTTCCATCTGAAAGTATCTGTGCAAGACAATTGAAAACAAAAAAGATAATGTGTATTAGTTTTGATAAAAATCAACAAAAACTAAATAAACGATAGCTTTGATAATCGTTTTAATATGCTGCAGTATGCGCAATGTTTTGATCGGATATAACTATATCGTTAGATATCTTGTGCAGGCTCCTCAACATATTAAATACATTTATTTAATAGTCGAAAAATTGTTGAAATGGCATAGAAAAGTTGTATCCTTATACGTATATCAACTGAGTAGATTTAGTAGAAATACTGCAGGAACAGTTTTTTTGTAGAAACTCTCCATATTTAGAGATATATTTATGTGTTCATGCCAGGTATGTGTTATTTCTCAACTACTCTCTCCTTGTAGATTGAAATGGCTTCTATGGATGATAACGTTAAATTGGTCGAATACACCAATCGTAGAACCGCTGTTTTCGACAACACAAACGAGAAGCCGAAATCAATTCTAAATGCCCGAAATGCAAGAAACGTTCAAAATAATACTCTCAATCGAATAAACAATTACACGTTTCGACAGAATATGTATGAGATTTTCTTCTAATGTAAGATATCATTGTAGTTACTCTTTTCTAGAAAATTGTGTTACTGGTTTATGTTGGGTTTCTTACCCAAACCTATCTTTGTGTTGCCTACGATTACAAGTATACTTACGATCACAGGTATATTGGTAATTTGTCTTACCGCACCAAAATCACCAGGTGCGTACTTGTTAATTTGCATTCTTCGTATTCAATAAGATAATAATGTCCAGTTAATGCGGGTCTGTTTTACCTGTATTCTGGGTTTTGTTTAAAAAAATTTGAATTATGATAAAATATTTGACATCAACATGTTCAAAGCTACTGATCAGGCAAGAACAGAACTATAAGCATTACAGCTGCTTCACTTTTTTCATTTCAAATTAGCAGTGACGCATGCGAAACAATAAAGATGAACATCACTAGTAGAACTAATGTTTTTTTCATAAGTCGGACCCTTTCATTTTACTTATTGGTAGCGACTATAGCTTAGAAAAGAATTTCAGAAGGAATCTTCCCACTATCACTTTTGCTGTAAAAATAGTAAAACAATAAGTTTCTACAAAATAGAGATTATTGCATTTTATATAATCCTTTTTTTCACACATCAATAAAACAGAAATTTCACAAGCTGATGTTATATATTGTTCCTCGTTGTAGAAAGATCAACGTTATCGAATTCAATGTTGCTGAATCCCTTTTTCTATTATTTATGGTAGTATTCTTTCACATCTCTGAATGGAAATAGCCGCTTATCCTGGATGTCTCTTTCTCTATCTCATCAACATATTTTGCGATATAATAGAAGTACGAAAGAATAGCAGAAAATACAGCTGATTTTCTCATGGAACAAGACGAGAGTAAGTAGTGTATGTATTCCATCTCTATCTTCTTTTTTTCTGCTAGTATATTCCGATACAATCATTTTACGTTTGTCTTTCTGTATGACCCATGTGTGTTCTATGTTATATTCATCACTGAGTTCTCATATCTTTCTCATATCCTAGCGAATTCTTTTCGTTACCACGGCTCGAAACAGTAAAACTTTGTATATACATTATAAAACTGAGAAAAATATTGATCCCTATTTGTGATTGAAAAGATCGATAGAAATCATTGATTGCTCACTGTAAGAAAAGCAGTAGAGATAAATAGTTGCATGTTTGTCATGCAAAAACTATCAGTGAACATGCGTTGTCCATATGATGGAATTACTGACAAATACACTAACTATGGTAGGTCGTCTTCATGCATGGTTAGTCAGCCAGTAGATTCACATTCGCTTCTCAAAAGTCACAATTTTGTTCATTGCTATTCTCAAGCATTCGTAGTAGACTTTGTTATATTCTGTTTGTTATTCTAAAGTATTAATCCAAAATACTGATTGAATCACTGAGAGCATTACACAACAGTACAGTTTTAATATTCGTTTGATTCTGCAACAGTGTGGTACAGCACAGTTTTGGAATGAATTCTACAGTGCATGAGAAGATGAGAACAGACAAGTGGGTGGATTGATGAATTTTCATATTTAACTTTATCAGTATTCAAAGAAACGAAGCAGAGTTCTTTTGAAAGATGATGATTATGAATTGTCTCTAAATAGAATCATACGATAACTACTAATACCATACGATAGTAATCGTGATAACTGAAAACAATCTAGGACGAATACTTCTACTGGAGAAAATAATCAGTCATCCAATTTTTTTTCATGTATCACTTAGTTCCAAAGTGCGGTCTCAATTTCAAGCAAACGGCTCAAAAGCCAATTGACTATAATTATGGTCCACGATCTGTAGCCATCACTGATTTCGATAATGACACGGTTTTAGATATGGTTATTGCCCATCATATAGCGAACAAAATAGCTGTGTATTTAGGAAATGATGATGGTAGTTTTAGAAATCCAACTATGTATTCAACAGGTTCCTACTCTAGTCCTTACATGGTCACAGTTGCTGATTTCAATAATGACAACCGATTGGATATTGCAGTAGCGAATTTCGGCACTAACAATATCGGGATCTTTCATGGATTTGGGAATGGATCTTTTCTCGGTCAAATAGAACTTTCAACAGGCTCATCTCGTCCAATAGCCATTATTGCCGTTGATTTCAACAATGACTCACTACTTGATATTGCCACTGCCAATCACGGAACTCACAGTGTTAGTATATTCTATGGATATGATTATGGAAACTTTTCACCTCCAATGACGTATTCAACAGGTTATGATTCTCTTCCATCCTCATTAGTTGCCGGAGATTTCAATAACGACAAATATGTAGACCTTGCCGTTGCCAATTATGGTACGAACAATGTTGGCGTACTTTTTGGAAATAGCAACAGAACTTTTGAGAAACAAATCACTTTTTCAACTGGAGTTGGTTCCCATCCATACTCAATCGCTGTTGGCCAATTTAATGACGACGGATTTGTCGATATAGCCATCGCCAATTCTGGAACTCATAAAATAGGTGTACTTTTGAACAACTGTAACGGAACTTTCGCTAATCAAACCACCTATTCCCTCGAGTCTGTTTTTCCGTATGCGATTGGCGTCGGAGACTTCAACCAAGATAATCGATTAGACATCGTCGTCACTAATAACGGTCATGAAAATATAGGTGTACTTCTTGGATATGGAAACGGGGATTTTGAAAATCCAATTATGTATTCAACTGGATCTTATTCTTCAATTTCTGTTGCCATAGGTGATCTCAATAAGGACCATCGATTAGATATTGTCGTTGTAAATAATGATACTGGTGCCATAGATATTCTCCTTGGTCACTTTAAGGGTTTTTTAAATCAGATAAAGTATTCAGCTGGCACTTATCCACTATCTGTAGTTGTTGGTGACTTCAACAACGACACTCGACTAGACATCGTTGTCGTCAATCCGAATAGCCATGATGTGAGTGTCCTTCTGGGAAATGGAATTGGTTCTTTTGAAAATCAAACAAGGTATTCAGCTGGCACTTATCCACAGTCTGTAGTTGTTGGTGATTTCAACAACGACACTCGACTAGATATCGTTGTCGCCAATTCTGGTAGCAATGATGTGAGTGTCCTTCTTGGGAATGGAAATGGTTCTTTTGAAAATCAAACAAGGTATTCAGCTGGCTATGCACCACAATTTGTAGCTGTTGGTGATTTCAATAACGACACTCGACTAGATATCGTTGTCGCCAATTGGAATAGCAACGATGTGAGTGTCCTTCTTGGAAATGGAAATGGTTCTTTTGAAAATCAATCAAGGTATTCAGCTGGCTCTTTCCCACAATCTGTAGCTGTTGGTGATTTCAATAACGACACTCGACTAGATATCGTTGTTGCTAATTTTGATAGCAATGATGTGAGTGTCCTTCGTGGAAATGGAAATGGATCTTTTGAAAATCAAATAAGGTATTCAGCTGGCTCTTATCCACAGTCTGTAGTTGTTGGTGATTTCAACAACGACACTCGACTAGATATCGTTGTCGCCAATATGGGTAGCAATGATGTGAGTATTCTTCTTGGAAATGGAAATTTTTTTTTTGAAAAGCAGATAAGGTATTCAGCTGGCACTAATCCACTATCTGTAGTTGTTGGTGATTTCAACAGCGACACTCGGCCAGATATCGTTGTCTCCAATTCTGTTAGCAATGATGTGAGTATTCTTCTTGGAAATGAAAATGGTTTTTCTGAAAATCAAATAAGGTATTCATCTGGCTCGTCACCACGATCTGTAGCTATTGGTGATTTTAACAACAACACACTACTAGATATCGTTGTCGCCAATTCTGGTAGCAATGATGTGAGTGTCCTGTTGCAATATGGAGCGCTAACATATAAAAGCGCCTATGCATCTGGCGGTGGATCTAGCCTACAATGCGTAGTGATTGGTGATTTGAACAACGATACAAACCTGGATATCGTCTTAGCTAATTATGGCACTGATAATATCGGCGTCCTTATTGGATATGGAAATGGTAGTTTTGAAAACCAAATGATGATCAGCACTGGCACGAATTCTCATCCGATTTCCATCGCGGTTGGCGACTTCAATGGTGACCGTGTAGTGGATATTGCTTTAGCCAATAATGGTACCAAGCATGTAGATATGATGCTTGGCAATGGGAAGGGAAAATTTGCAATTCAAAAAAGTTATGAAATTGGTTTTGATTCACCTCCGTTAGTTATGGCTTCTGGTGATTTTAATAATGACAAACGATCGGAGATCGTGATCGCTAACGGTGGAAGTAATCATGTGGATATCTTTGTTCGGTACAATCATGGTTCTTTTGAAAATCAAACAAGGTATTCAGCTGGCTCTTATGCACGATCTGTAGTTGTTGGTGATTTCAACAACGACACACGACTGGATATCGTTGTCGCCAATTCTTTGAGCGATGATGTGAGTGTCCTTCTTGGAAATGGGAATGGTTCTTTTGAAAATCAAACAAGGTATTCAGCTGGCTCTTATCCACATTCTGTAGTTGTTGGTGATTTCAACAACGACACTCGACTAGATATCGTTGTCGCCAATTGGAATAGCAATGATGTGAGTGTCCTTCTTGGAAATGGAAATGGTTCTTTTGAAAATCAAACAAGGTATTCAGCTGGCATGGGGCCACAATCTGTGGCTGTTGGTGATTTCAACAACGACACTCGACTAGATATCGTTGTCGTCAATTGGAATAGTATTGATGTGAGTGTTCTTCTTGGAAATGGAAATGGTTCTTTTGAAAATCAAACAAGGTATTCAGCTGGCATGGGGCCACAATCTGTGGCTGTTGGTGATTTCAACAACGACACTCGACTAGATATTGTTGTCGCCAATTCTTTGAGCGATGATGTGAGTGTCCTTCTTGGAAATGGAAATGGTTATTTTGAAAATCAAACAAGGTATTCAGCTGGCTATGGGCCACAATCTGTAGCTGTTGGTGATTTCAACAGCGACACACGACTAGATATCGTTGTCGCCAATTCTGATAGCAATGATGTGAGTGTCCTTCTTGGAAATGGAAATGGTTCTTTTGAAAATCAAACAAGGTATTCAGCTGGCTCTTATCCACGTTCTATAGTTGTTGATGATTTCAACAACGACACTCGACTAGATATTGTTGTCGCCAATTATTTTAGCAATGATGTGAGTGTCCTTGTTGGTTGCGACAATATAGTTTTTGTAAAGCAAATGATACTGGTAACTGGAAATGATTCTCGACCACAATCTTTAGTAATTAGTGATTTTAATAATGATGGTCTGATGGATATCGGCGTCGTCAATTCACTTACTCACAATATTGGTATTTTTCTTGGATATGGTAATATATTTTTTACAAATCAAGTAATATATTCCACTCCCTCATATTTATCTCCATGCTCTCTGGTTGTTGGTGATTTCAACAATGATACTCGAATGGATATTGCTTTTGGCAGTTGTGACTCGAATAATGTTGGCATTTTGCTTGGATGTGGCAATGGATCTTTTGGAGATCTAATGGTGTATTCAACAGGTTCAAATTCGTCTCGATACTCTTTAGCTGTCCGTGATATTAACAACGACACTATACAAGATATTGTCGTCGCAAATCATGATGCCAATTATCTAGGCGTACTTCTTGGACATAACAACGGCACATTTGCAAGTATCATCCTATTTCCGTTGGACTATGGATCCAATCCATTCTCTATTGTCGTTGGAGACTTCAACAATGACAGAAAACTAGATATTGCCGTCGCTAATAGTGGTACTGACAGTTTAAATATTCTCTTGCAGACTTGTTAGTTTTTTTTATCTCGGATCTTATATTTTTCTATCACTCACTTATTTCGTATGCTCTTATATCTAGTAGAACCATAGTTAAAATATGCAAATGATTTTAACTGGAAACGATGAGTGGGGAAAGGGTGTGGGTGTGCATGGGTGTGTGTGTGGATGTGAGCAGTGGGTTGAGAATAATACACCCACACCCAAATCGTCTCGATCAAATCTTTTTTTCCACGATACGCATTCGTCCAACGAGATCATTCAGTGTACCTTTCTAACTGTAGAAATCATCGTGCGACGAAGTGGGTGAAAGGAGCAAAACAAGCCATTGTCGTGGCTGGTGGTCAAGCACAAGGCAATGGTCTTACACAATTGTATGATCCTCAAGGAGTCGTTATCGATCAATTAAGCACTATCTATGTGGCTGATCAAGAGAATGATTGGATCATGCGTTGGCTCAAAGGATCCACACAGACAAGTATCATTGTTGGTGGAAACCGTAGAGGAGAACAATCAAACCAACTCAATTAACCCATAGGTTTGTCATTTGATCAACACGGCAATCTCTATGTTGTCGATTGGGAAAATCATCGAGCACAGGGTGTGGGTGTGGGTAAGGCTGGGTGTGGGTGTGTGGGTGTGGGTGTGTGGGTGTGGGTGTGTGGGTGTGGGTAAGGCTGAGTGTGGGTGTGTGGGTGTGGGTGTGTGGGTGTGGGTGTGTGAGTATGGGCGTGTGGGTGTGGGTGTGTGAGTATGGGCGTGTGGGTGTGGGATGTGGCTGGGTGAGGCTGTGGATGTGGGTGTGTGGGTGTGGGTTTGGGTTTAATGTGAGTGTGGGTGAGTGTGGATGCATTTTTCATTAGACACCCACACCCCATACCCACACGTACACCCACACCCACATCTACACCCACACGCACGCTCACACCCACACCCACCCACACCCACACCCACACGCACACCCACACCCCACACTCTTCAAAATTTTGGATGTAAAATAGAGTTTTAGCACTTGTCTTCAGTAGTCCAAGTGTTAGAACATCCGATCCATAATCAGAAAATGAGGCGTTCAAATCCTGCTTGATGTACACGTTTTATGATTCTGACCCTCGAACACATGAACACTTGACGTAATATTTGCAGATACCTATTATGGGATGGTAATTTGCTTGTCTTTTTTCAGACAATCACTCTGACGATGACTCTCGAGTGTCCGTATATAGTAACTCGCATCCTCAAGAGCACTTAACTCATATCGACACCATCAACATGCCGAAAATATTATATATTCGTTCACTGATACTTATTTCTTTGAGAATAGTCAAGAAACTTGTTAATTACATAAAACAACGGCAGTCTGCTTTCGTTCAAGAATATAAATAGATTTTAGTAAATTTTTAAATTGACTAGTACAATGTTACTGCATGGATACTGTTTCAGTTTGTGCATTAGTTGCAATCACCTAAAAAAACACCGAGTTTGTGTGCAAAGACGTTTGCGATGATCATATCGAGCTTGCCGTCCCCATTGACATTGGCTACTGCCACAGAAGTCGGCTAAGACCAGTTGAATAGGTCACTTGAGCAGCAAACATGCCATTACATTGAGCTAGTATAAAACAAGCATTGAGCACTTATATGATTATGAAGAAGAACCACCTTATCAGAGCGCTTTTAACTCATAAACAGCTTTACTTGGACCATTATCATAGCGATCGAGCAGTGAGGAGGATATCCCTGGTTTTGAAAAATTTTCATTTTTCCTCACGGAATAAATTACTTTTGCTTCAATCCTATGGAGTTTTCACTAGAACGCTTCTTCTCGGAAAAGGATAACTCACTCCGTAATCCTGACTATTTTGCAGCAGCTCTCTCTTCTATTATGATATTCTTATCATCGATCAACCTTCCTCTAGTTTCGCGATGTCACGTTTTAATTGTTTTTCCATTGGAACTGAACCGAGTCTCATCTGGGATTGGATTAGAGCAGTAAACCATATGAGTTACTCATCGACTGAACTCACTAGATTTTTCATTAAGCTCAAGTGATCCGATGGACAACACTATATCCCGATGAAGAGTGATCAAAAAAATTTCTTAAAAAGAACTCTAGTTATCATGATACGAATGTTTTTTTGAGAGAGAATCCATGATGGGTCTCACTCAACAGTGGATACTTCCCGGAAATATGATGAGAATGATGCAGTCAAATAACATTCAGTTGAGCACAAAATCAACTAGTCGTCTGTTCAGTCAGACTGCTCGCCGTTCATCTGTCATCCTGATCAAACAGCAGCTATCTGTCGTTGGTGTTCATCAAAATCAAATCCAATCATCAATTCGTCGTTTTCACGGCTCAAAACGGTAGGTTCTCCATTCTGTCCTTTTATGTGCAGTGATCAATCAACTGTCCCATGAAAGCAAGTCAAGGTAGAAGGAATCCACAAAGAACGAAATGCGCAAAAGAAGAAGGTCAACACGTTCTTTGTCTGGTTAGCTGCAACACATCTTAGCTGAGTATCAGTATCCATTTCCGATGAATTGTCTGTCAACGTTCCTGGCAGGAAACAGCTAATTTAAATCAGTCAAAAATCATCCTACATCAAGACCTAAATGTTGAGTCTATATCAGTTATAGCTATATTTCACATTGATCAACTAGGACTTATTCTACGAACCCAACTGTATGAATATTCGTGTGTATACGCGAATAGAAACTCGAATGCTGCCTTACTTGATGTTGTTGCTGACTTAGATCATGCCGTTGCAGTTGTTGCTATCGTCGTTGTTGTGACTATCGTTACTGTTATTACTGATGTTGATGTTGTCGTGATAGTGGCAATTGTTGTTGTTTGGGTTCATTCCAAAATGTTGTGCTTCGTTCTCAAATTAAATGAAACAATCGATATAGATGAGTATTTTTAAAATGCGAACAACTATGGTTGCTGTTATATTACGAGTAGTCAAGGCTGCTTGTACGCATTTTTCACTCGTGCTGAGTACGACAGCACATGTGATCAAAACAGATAAAACTATGGCAATTATGGCAACCACTGCTGCATAACGAAGGGAATGATGTTTGATATTTTGGATAAACCTTTGACCGACACCTGACTGTACAGTCACTGTCGATTGTGCTTCGGTTCGAGAACATGCTGGATGATTTGCATCTGAACGAGATGACGCATCAACAAGGACGCGATCCGGTGTCTCATTGGAATATCTAACTTTCTGATTCTGTTGGACCATTAGTCATATTCTTTCAACGTTACTTAGCCTAAAATAGATAAGTAAATATAAGCAACATGAGTTGTTGACAGAAAAGCAACAGATAAAAAAATACCTTAGATTAGCTGGGTATGGATAGGTGTGGGATGTGGGTGAGTGTGGGTGTGGATCTGGGTAGGTGTGAGTGGGTGTGGGGGTGGAGGCAGGCGTGTGTGGGGGACGGGATGCCAGTGTGAGTTTAATTATGTTCCTTTAATCTGTTCCTATATCCACATCCCCACCCATCCACACCCAAACCCAAAATCCCGTACTTCCCGTCGAGTCATCTTGAAACTTGACTTTTCAGTTTTGATTTGAAATTTCGCACAAATAATGCTTTCAATGAAACTAATTAGTTCATTCTGAAAAGTCTCAGCCTTTTCCGTTGATTCTGTTGTCTGAACAGGCATATTTTCTGCTTTTATTAGTATCTCATGACAGAAACAGCTAAAAAAAGACTGCTACTTTCAGAATGAACTAATGTCATCGAAAGCGTTATTTGTGCGAACTTTCAAGTCAAAACTAAAATGTTAAACTTTAACGTGGCCTGAGGAGGAGTGCGGTGTTTTGTTGAAAATTCAGTATAAATACGATATAATTACAACGAAGGCCTGGAAAAACAAATCATTGTAGAATTTGTCAACACTCACTAGTAATCATCGAATGAACATAGCCGAAAGCCAGAAATGATTTAGCACCTGGAAATGTTTCCTTGCGAGCTGCCAAGGTTTCCATCTGAGGGTGTGAGTGTGGGCGTAGATGAACAGAGGACCAACATCACGTCTTTGTTCAAGATTTTTGACCATGGTCCAAATATTATTGATCAATACTTCACATTTCTATCAAACAATACTACAATTCCTAAGATTCATAAAATATATTTATTTTGTTTTTGCCTACTTTCACAACTCATCATTCAGACAGATAAGTTTTGACTACCCTACGTAAAGAATCAATTGAAGTCTTTTGATATTTTTCAGAAAATCGAATCTTAAGTTGGATATTTAACAGCGTTGGTAGCGCTGCGGGTGTGACTGCTACGACTTCTTTCTTATTTTTTATGCTTTTTCAATTCATATTCATTAGAAACTAATGAGAAATGTTTTTAATTAACTAATTATATTTAGGTAAATTATAATTATTCTCTTTCTTAAGATCGATCTTTACTATTTGTTTTCTTTTTCAGTAACGTTTCGGCAACGATTTAGTCTTTGTCAGACTAATTTATTTTTATGTTTATAGACATCTATATATGTATAAATACGTAAACTTATTTTTCTTTTCTTTAGATTTAAAATATGATAGTGGAACGGAGGAAGAAGGCAAATAGTCGACAACTTCTACCAGTATCATCGTCTCGCCGTCTCAATATCATATTTTAAATCTGAAAAAAACAAAAACGAAAAGAAAAATAAGTGTACATGTCATACATATATAGATGTTTAGAAACATAAAAATAAAGAAGTCTGACTAAGGCAACATGGTTGCCGAAACGTTACTGAAAAAGAAAACAAATAATAAAGATTGATCACAAGTAGAGATCTGCAAAGTGGCCAAGTGTCTCGTGATCATAACTATGGCTAAGACCAAAACTATCAAAAATCGAAGGTTTTATGAAACTTTTACAACTTTTGCCAAAAAATCGCGGCTAATGGATGAACTGTAGCCAGTTTTTATGATATTAGTGTTTAGGAAAGTTTTTTCAAAAGCTTTATTAGTGTGGCTGTAGCTAAATTCGAAAAGTTCTCGTGAT